TTATGTTATCTGGTATATTTGAGGCTTCCAAGCTCATTCATGGATAAATTAGGTAATGTTTTTCTTACTGTTCTAAAACCTCTTGGCAACYGTGATGGAGAGGGGAAACCCCTGCTCTTGTTTTCACTCCTCAGAAGCCAAACCCAAGAAGTCAAAAAGCCTAATCACACCTTGCAGTCTACGTAATATAAACCTACAGCCACCGAAAACTGGGGTCTCAAGATTGTTTTTTGGCTGAAATTTAAAAGGTCAACAGATATTTATTTMCCCTGTCTAGCCCCTCTTAGCCCCACAATAACTCTCTCATTGCCTCTGCTTATCCAATGAATTCTTATCAGAACTGCCCACTAACTCAGACGCAATTTTTCAGACTCCACAGTGACAAAGCAAGGCCACAATAAATAAAATTAATAATACTTCTACCCTGCTTTCTCTACAGCAACAGACATACATTACATGTTGAGAACACTTCTCGTTAACTGCCTTTCTTGGGAACAATTTTATTTTTTCCACTATTATATTTTCTGGGATGAGACTTGGAATTTATAAATACTAAATTCTTTAAAGTTAGGTAAAATTGACCCTGATGGCCTGCTGATTTTTGCAGATAATGTCAGTGTGCAGAATGCAACACAATGTAATGAAATCCTGCTCTCATCATGTCCACCAGAAAAAATTATTTTGTCCACTTACAAGGTTTGTTTCTCTCAAGTCTTTGTCACCAACATATTTTTAGGTTATTGAACTTAGTGAAGACTGTGACAGAGTCACAAGAGAGAATATTTTGTCTTGATATTRTTAATCTATTTCATTAGCTTACTGCACACTTCTCATTTCTTCTGCCTTTTYGAAATGCCACCTACACGGATAAAATTACATTAGGAGTTCTCAATATTTCCATGAAGACGAAGAGAAATCACATAAAGAGRCGACTATTAAGAAGTAGGGAAAAACAAAGATTAACTTGAGATGCACAGGATTTAACTTATTTTTAAAACAATCCCAGACAAGGCTTCCAGTGGGAGGAAAGTATATACATTTTTTAAATAATCTAGAAATATCATGAATATGCTATCAAATGTAAAGTTAAAATTCAGTTTCACTGAGTTTCAACATGAGATGATTCAAAAAAGAAGTAACTAAAGCCACTSTAAAGGAAGTGCCCTACCACAAAACAAGGAATCCCTGCCAGTGTACCAGYGCAGTCAAATGCCAACTTCCAGTTTAAAACTTATTATGAATAAAAAAGTGTATCAATAAAATGGAAAATATGCAGGAAATAACAGAAAAATACCAAAGTAAGCAAATAAAGCATCTGTAAACCAGTACATGATTACACATTTCTCTGTTTCCCAGTTATATTCTGTAGCCTTTACATTTTCAATACTGGTGACTCCCAACAGTTTTGACTTCTTGATAGTTACGTGTAACATCATTCTCATGTATCTTCCCACTGAAGCACGAAACATGGCAAACAACAAACCACAGGAATATTGCTTATTTTGCCTAATTCAAAACACAATCCCAAACAGGTAGTGCCAGGCAGCAGTAAAATTTGAGGCACCAACCACTGCATAATCTTCAATCAGCTGAAAGCTCATCTGTGAATCAGAAACAGGACATAGCCAGGCCTTTTCTGAAAACTGTGTGTGCAACAGTGTTGTGGTTTGGGAATGTTTCCACCACGCTGTGCTGACCTGGAAAGGACCCTGTTCCCTGGAAGAGACTCCCTTCCCCCTGCCCATCAATGAGGAGAGGTGGCACAGAACAACCTCTGGGTCCTGGCCACGGCCCCCTCCTGGCTACTGCCAAAATTAACCCTGTCCTGCCTGGAACCGGACACAGTTATAACTGTTCAAGGCTGATAAACATGAAAGCTAGTCTCGCCTTGAGCAGCAGGTTCTCCCAACCTAAATTACCCTACAATTACATACCACAGCAAACATTTTAATCTGAAAACCCTGAAAATATTTTGTAACCTCATTTATAAATCTTTGCCCCAGAATTAACTTTTGAAACAGAATCTTCTCCCAGAGGATGAGAATAGGGCATCAATCGATAAAATCTAGGACACAGAAGCACAGTAGGTACAAACTCGTCCTAGTTAAGTAACAGAATTGATGAAATGTGTATATTATCCTTATAGCAAGACAACTTACACAATTTAAACATTAACCCAGTAGAAAGGGTATTTCTGGTTGTACAAACAGACCYGAGGAACTCACAAAGGATGCTATCAGTGAGCTGAGCTACTGGCAGCCATAGAATACAGGTCACTTGAAAAGTCGTAATCATTGAATCCAAGTAATGTCAAGAAAGGGAGCCTTGAGCCTAACCACAAAGCAAGACCAAGAAGCCCTATGTTGTGGTTGTTTAGTCTTATCCTAAAAATACCTACACAACAAAAGTTCAACAATCTACCCTCTTTGACCTTTTTTCACTTCTAAACTTTCTCATTAAATATGCTTCCTGGTGACCTAATGTTTTTTACAGACTTCTCTGATCTACTTGCTTTCTTCAAGATGATACTAGATCTGGTGTCCCAACTTCCATCTAATAAACASTAAGTAGAGTTTACTCTGTGTGTCTTAACTGTCTATACTGCATTTCATTGCGGTGGTGCAATGAGAGCTCTTTGCTACTTTTTACAGTAAGTCAAGCAGTCTGAACTTCCTGCCCCTTACTCMATTTGTGGTTCATTGTACTGCTTTCCATATCCTTCTCTGGAGATCTGCTGTCTACACAGCCATTCTGAACTTTTTCACTTAAATATTGTTTATATTAAAACCTGCAACAATGTGCTGAAGTTTTGGCTGGGGTAGAGTTAGTTTTCTTCAGAGTGTCTGGGGGCTGTGGTTCGGATTTGTACTGAACTTGGGGTTGATAATATAGAGATTTTTTTTTATGTCTGAGCAGGGCTTACACCAAGCCAAGACCTTTTCTGCTTTTCATCCTGCATCGCTGGCAAGGGGCTGGGGGTGGCTGGGAGGAGACCCAGCCAGTACAGGTGACCCCAAAGGACCAGAGAGATATTCCAGACCATATGACATCACATTCAGTATATAAAGTAGGGCAAGAAGGAGAAAGGGGGGGACATTTGGAGTGATGGTGCTTGTCTTCCCAAGTACCTGCTATCTGTGATGGGGCCCTGCCCTCCTTGAGATGGCTGAACAGCTGCCTGCCYATGGGAAGTGATGAAATAATTTCTTTTTTCTACTTTGCCTGTGCACACAGCTTTTGCTTTCTGTATGAGTTTGTCTTTATCTCAACCCCTGAGTTTTCTGGCTTTTACTTTTCTGATTCTCTCTCCAAACCTGCTCATGGGGGAGTGAYCAAGTGGCTGTGTGCYGCTTGGATACTGGGTGGGGTTAAACCAATAATATCATTATCATTCTGAAACTTAATCCTGTCCTCTGCAAAGTACTGGCAGCTTTTCCCAAGTAARTATCAACTGCAATTTAATAAACATTTTCTCTATCATACTATCTAGAGAAAAGCTTATCTCTTTCTAGAGAATACCACTTGACAGAACCTCATCCTTCTTGTTTGACAGTATACCAATGATAACTGCTCATTGAAATTATAATTCCAAGACAGAGAAGGGTAAAACATACCMTACTTTTTGGTGACTTTTTGCTTCAGAATTTGTTTTATAAACAAATTTTCAACTGACCTCTTAATTTTTGTGGCAGGAATRTTGGTAAGAAGCTAGACTGCTCTTACAGGATCTTCACCAAGATTAAATTTCTGTGCTTTTCTTTAGGAGCACTTTTAATGTTTTATAAGTTATAAAATATCACACACCACCTATCACACCTCCTTGGGATCTGTTACCTTGTCACAGAGGGAAATCAGATTGCTTTACATGATTTATTCTCAACAAATCCATTTTCACCGTTGTTTAGCATCTTTTTATCTTCTCTGTGATTCCAAACAGATTATCTGCTCAAGTGTCTTTTCAGGAATCAAATTTAGCCTGACTGGCCTATAATTCCCTGGGCCTTTGTGTGTTTTYTGGAAAGACAGACACAAAGATTTCTTCCCTCCCCCTACAATTCATTTACTTTTTATCCTCTAATTCTCAAAGCTCATAAGGGAAGAGTCTAAGATTTCTTAAGTATTCCACAGTGAATTAATTGTGCCAGACAATTTGAAAATATCTGACTCATCTAAGATGACTCTAACCTGTTCTTATCCCTCTTCCCTTGTTTTAATTATGCTAGTCTTCAGAGCAAAATCAGCCTCTTTTTAAATCAGTGCTGAGGAAGAAAAAAGCTTCCAACAACCAAACAAACAGGCATGCCTCTGTTAGTTTTACCTCTCTGACAATAATTGGGCCAACTCTTTTCCTTGTCTTACTCTGATTCATTACATATAAAATATTTTATTTTACTCTATTGTTAAAACCTCGCTTAAAGACGGTCCATACTTTTTTGCAATATCTATGACCAAAATGTTGTTCAGGCTGAAACTCAAAGGATCCGTGGGATGCTTGGTATGTGATCTTATTAGCACTAGGGGTTCAGACATTTTTGCTTCAGTAAGCTCCTCCAATATTTTTCAGACTTAACAGATTTTGTTCCTCAGTGTTCAGATTGATGCTTATAATAACTCACAGCAGAAAAGGAACATGATGAAATAATTGGATTTATTCTCCCTTTTAAGTGAACCAGAGTCAGGATACAAGCCTCCCTCAAAAACCTATGTTTTTGCATATCAAAGRGTATAAACAAACCTTTGCACTCGGGTGCAATGACCTTGGGTGTAAAAAACAGACACGYGAAAGCACGGGTAGTTTTTATTGCAGACACTCAAATAAACCCCAGAAGGGAATTARGCTTATTCAATACAGCAAATGTGACCTACAAACAGCAAGCCAAACAAGAGTGAAAAAGTGGGACTGTTTCTTTTTCCTTAATTGCTGTTAGTAAAGGAAGTAGCTCCTTCGAAGTCTGATGTTAGCATCCCCCTGTGTGTACTAGAAATTATGCAAATCTTACCTCAGAGAACCTTTGTACATCCTGGGTTAAAGTTCCTACTCTCTTCCAATGATAATGCTTGAGTAACTTCAAAATTGCTGGATTCACTGCATTATCAGATGGCACYGTCCGGAAGAAATAAGGATATTTTTTCTTATCAGCCAACTCGGGAGTTGTTGCCGCAAATGAAAGCTGGAAAAAAATCAAAGATAAAAAAAAAAAAAATGAATGTCACCATAAGTCATCTAGCAGTCAGTAAAAAAACTTTGCTTTTGTCAGTGCAGCAAGACACAATCTGTGCATTTCTGTCACGTAGAGAAGTTTCATCATCATACAGCTTGAAAATCCAACCATCACCATTTTCTTTTAAAGAGATTTTTGAAATATTTTAGATCAATAAACCACCTGCTGCAAAATTAAACTAGGGAATCTTAAAAGTCAGTGATGTAAAATCCTCTGTTTAAAATCATGCATCTTACACATTGCACAGAGCAATAAGGCCTAAGGGAGTAAATCTCTATGATGAATTCCCCATCAATTACTCTTCATCGAAGTTGAGAATACCTCCAAGAGAATATTATATTCTCAAAGTCTTATATATCTTTAAATTACTGGGTGAACCTCTAGTAGTACTTCTTCCTATCTTCATGCAATAAAACAGCTCCAGGTAACAGAAAAAGAGAAAATCATTATGTTTGCCAAGACTGCCACTCGGAAGTTCACTTGGTCCCAGCTTCCTGCGCTGAGGCAGCCCCCTGTGGTTTGTGTTATAAAAGAGGATTCAGTGGCTAAAACACTGGGATTTGTTCATGGTTTGAGAACGCTTACAACAAAAGAAAAGAGGAAAAWTTTTAAAACACACATAAACAAACAGAAAAATTCAATGAATTCTTCTGCCCAGGTTAAAGGTGGTATATTTTTGTGAATGCTTTTCAGAGAATGTTTTGAGGAAAATGCCTGCGCATTCACTTTTTGAAAACTCTCCTACTCCAAAGACACTTCTGGTCATTCCCTCCAGTTCTTTTTAGGCTGCTAGCAATGTGCTTCTCAAGCATTTTTTCAGCCAGGAATTTTGTTTGATTGAGGGGTTTCTTAAAGTACTGTTTTAATGCAAATTGGTTTGACTGACAAAAAATAAGCTCCCTGATACAGTTTACTTAAACTCTTTCTGGCTCAGTAGAGAATCAGAAAATGCAGGTAAATTCAAGACTATATAAGTATATCCAACCATAGCTTTCTAAGTTTTCACTTTTTTAATCAAGCACTCAATATATTTGGGTCAGATAATCTTTTTTGAAATTCAGAACAGATAAACTTAATCTGAAATAACAGTTCAAGTCTTTTCCCCATGTTAATAAAAATCTAGGTTTAGTCTATGAGAAACAGGACTTATTCTCTGTCTGATTTTAGACTCACAAATATTATATTGCTTTGTTATAAAGACCTGAATATAGCTTGTTTTCCTAATCGAAAGAAATCCAAAAAATTTGAAGTGTGCATAACTTGGACAGTTTACAGTATACCATTCAAAACAGAAGAATCTTTTTTTTCTACCAGTCAGGAGATAGTGAATATTGTAATTGTCATGCAATTCTGAGGTAAACCATTTTTAATATAGCAACTGATCTTTCATTAGATTTAATGAAAAAGTGCAATATGAGGTGCTATGATACATTGCCATTTTGGTGTTCCAAAACCTTTCCCAGAAGGAAAAAAAGAATGAACTTCTGCCAGGTAGATCTAGTCTTTTTTTTTTGTCTAACTTGGTGGTCCTGAACATGATGCATTCACTGCACAATGAAGGTGGAAATAAGGAGCTGTACCTCTGACTGAAAAAGTGAGACAATTTGACAGTAGAAATCCAACATGAAGAGGAATACCTCTCAGCAGCCCAGCTGCTTGCAGCCTGCTGACTGAAAAGAACTTGCTTTTCAAGTCGTTATTTGGTTTTGGATCAAATGTAATTCAATTGATCCTTACGAAAAAGAAGCAAAGAACAACAGTGAAGGAATAGTAGTGGCAAGAAACATCAGCAAGGTTCATCTAGCTCAGCTTCACGGACTGAATGGCAAATTTTTCTGATCAGTAGTACAAAGCTCCACAGTAATGAGAAGCATCTCTGTATGTGTGAGCTGCCTTGAGGATGAARACTTGTTACACAAGCAAGACAATTAAAAACCATCCTTTGTGATTTTTTAGGGACTTAAGGGGCCTAAATTAGTACCCTAATTGCTCAAATTTCCTTAAAAACAATCAAGCTTACAGAAAGATAAAGTTTTATAACAGATTTCTCAGCCATGTGAGGTGAGATGAGATGAGTCCAGGTTTAAGTATAAAACTAATGATACCTGAATTACAAAAGAATATTCCTCTTCATTTTCTTTTCTTTTCGAAGAAAGGTTTTATTAAAATATAAAATGGGAAAATTTCATGCTCAAACAATTCTTGGATTGTAGGATATATTCAGAGGCCTTTCTGTCAAACATCACATATATCATCATGATTGGTCTCATTTTGGATCACTTTGACATTTAATAAGATGCTCATAAGAGATGTAGAAATATCCTGAAAAGGTTCAGTAATGGAAAATATTCAACTTTTCGTAAAATTGTCCMTGTAAGAGTTTGGGACATGCAATGAACTTAACCCAACAATCACTAGCACTCAATATTTTGCTTTGAGAGGGACAAGGGGGAATATTGGAAAAAAACCCCTCATTATATTCTAAAAAGTGGTAATAAAAATATCATGTTAAGAAATGAACTGTCATAAGGCAGACTTACTGGAAAAGTATGTCAGACAACACAGCTATAGGGAAATATCAGGAAAATACTCATTACTAAACCTTTATTTACTGTAATAAAGCAAACAAGATCACAACACGGTCCACCCACATATGCATTGAGATGATACAGTCCTTGTTAACTGAACATTAATCCTCTGTATTTTAGGGCTAATGTTGTTTATCCATGGCTGATTTGAAACTTGCATATTGAAAGAAAAACTTTTCATAGTTTCCTCATTTCATTCTATAGGACTGAAAACCATTCTGCTTTTTGTTACAGGAATTTGGTTGGTTTTTTTTGTTTTTTTTTTTACTTTCAGTTATTTAGCCAAAAATCTGGATGAATGGCAATCAGATTTTAATGTAATTCTTTGCAGAACACAAAAGTTCTATTTTTCACATGATTTCAATGCATATATATTCATGAACTGCTATGATTTTTTTACAGGTGTTTATAGTTGCCTCTCCATGTTCAGGAGGAGTGAGAGATAAACATTTATCTGAAGGATTATAATTCTGCAATAAATACCTATGGGTGTATGATGTCATTTTTTCACAGAAAATTATTTTATGTAATTGCTAAAAGGTGATGGCCGAAAGCCAAACTTCAAGAAAGGATGAATGAAAGGGAAAAAGGAAGATTTTTTTCAAATTGCTATAAAGCAGAAGACACAGTGGACAGTCACCAGGTGATATAACTGTGTGTGTGGTGTTTCTGTGTGTGCATAGATAAACAGGATCTGTGCTTATGTGAATGTAGATCTAGAGAAAAAAAAAACAACTTACACATAATGTATATAATATATATATAGTATATATATATATCTGTTTGAATACTGCCAGAAAAACTGCAGTTACTTCCTAGATTATCTCTGAGAAGTCTTTCTTTAGAATATCTTTAGAATATCTCCTTCCAATTTGTGAGCAACTGGATCTGAACTTAAAATGAGGGTATATAGGGAGACATAAGCTATGACTCAGATGGGAATTTCTGAAATGAAAGAGCGTAAAACTTTGAAATAGAAAATAAGATAAAGTTTACCATTCAAGCAAGAATATTAACTATAGTACAAATTGAGAACCAAACAGACCAAGATATTGGATTGGATTTGGAGGGCTGCTGAAAAACTGAAAAATGTACAGAAGCATTTTATTAAAGAGGYTTTGGGGTCAGGTATATATGTTGATATATCAAATTTCCCCCAAAAAGATGATACTTTTTTTAAATGTTAATTTAGTTGAAAATCCACACATTTTCATGGAAGGTTTGTCAACAACACTAGATAGTGAGATGAAAGGAAAAGATAGTTTAAAACAAAGTGTTGAAAGGAAYAGTTCTGCAGAAGGGGAGTAAAAGGTAGCTTCCTAACCCTATATTAAGTTTAAAGGAGGTGTGGTAGATTAACTGAGAGACATCAGTCTRAAGTGCTTTCAAGTGTTTCTGTTCAAGGAAGTACTGGTGCCTTCCCTTAAAGAAAGTCAGTACAGAAGCAGGAACGATAAGATGATAAGCTCTACTCTTCATTTAAGAAAATGGAGACCAGGACTAATGAAATCAATGGGCAAGACTAAGAGTTAATTAAGAAAGGAAGGATATTATTGGGAAGCTGAAACAAAATTAGAAAAGGAAACAGCACTATGTACAGAATGTATATATCTCATATATGAGTTCAGAGGTTGGAAGCTGGAAGGCTGAATAAAGTCAGACTGCTGTCCCATGTACTGCAGAGAGAAAGGAAGCCATCAGAAATGGCAAGTAATCTTCTGTTTGGTTGTTTTACTATCTCTAGGAAGCACTTCTGTTTATTTTTTGTCACTGTAATAGCGTACAAAAATCTGGAAAAGATAAAAGAGCAGAACTATCCCTGGATAAACAGTCACTCTCATCTAAGGCAACAGGTCTGTTTAGGAGTCACATTTATTGAAATGGATTSTATCAGCTAAAGTAGAACAGTGACAGGAACCCTAACAAAGTTACTGTGGTTCCCCAAATGTGCAGACTCCAGCTGAGTCTGACCCAAGCTGAAAGGAGCCGRGCAGAGCTGGGTGGAGCAGTCAAAWRYRGCAACGCCAGYGCCAGCAGCARWTGTRACSAATCAAGTCCAGYGTCCRAAGCAGYGSTGCAGCTCAACTTGGACAATCCAGCTCTTAGGAGCTGTTTTTCATTGTTTTTCTGTTTCTGGCTCAGGGATGGGGAGATGATGCTGTGGGGAGCACCTACGATCCTGTCTTTGTCTGGGAAAATCACGTGGTGCTGTGTTTGGGAACAGCTGCCATCTCGTCTTTGTCCCAGCAGCCATCCAGAGCTATGTCAAGGTGATGAACATCTTTTTGTGTGCAAAGCACTTTCTCCTCTTGTATACTATTATTATTGATGTTGCAGCTGTGTGTTTTTAGTCCATTACTG